GAAACTACCTCGGAAGACTCACGGTCAACCAATGGTCAAACTACCCAAACTTGATTAAACGGGCCCGCGGGGCCCACGATCTCCGATTTCGATATGAAAGTTCCTATAGGTTCCACAAGGTTTAGGACACACGTCTTGCAAGTTTGGTTATGATTGAACAGTCGGATTGCTCGCGATCGCACGATCGAACGGTTATTGTAAAACAAAAACTTCAAGTTATTAAATCGGAACATCCGGGGCTCCGATTCCCGATCCGTGAATTCCTACACGATCCTAGGAATTCCTAGATTAACATACTTCAAATTCAAGACGATCCAACGGTTCAAACCTATCGAACCTAGATGACGTACAATAGGCGAAATCAGTTCAATACTCAAACGGTATCCAAATTGAAATCTAAGCAAACCTACGTGCTCATGAGGACCAGGAGATCGCATAAGGACACAATGCCCTTTTTCTACAGTGCCCACGGGCCCCCACACGTGCTGGTAGCACATGAGTGTCCAAAGCGATAACACTTCGCCGGGAAATCTCAAAATCACAGCTCAAGATTCCTATCCTAGGTGTAACAGCCTATTTGGAGTGGCTTTTGTTCTTGGGCCTACTCTAAAAAGTGACCGGAAGTGGCCGGAATCGAGATCCCAAAACCGACTGAAATCTAATTCGAAAATCTAACTACCTAGACTCAAAATTGATAAAATCCTACCCAACCATCAGCTAGATCATGGGAAATAGGTGAGAAAGAATACCTCACTCATCAAAATTGGTGGCCGGACAACGGCGAACGAAGCTGACAAAAATCGAGGGAACAACCGGCCGTTTCTCAGCTTTTTCCTGCGGCTGGAGTGGCGATCGATGTCGGGGAAGGGCCAGGTCTTGACACTGAGGCTGGGCCAGTCCTTTTGGCACCGGTCTCGTCTTTTGCCATGGTCGATGGTCGTAGTTGAGAAGAGAGAGAGAGAGAGAGAGAGAGAGAGAGAAGATTTTATCAAACCCTTTTCGTAATAATTACGATTGTGCCATTGGTGATGTTTTGCTCGTAACTTCTTTGTTACAGCTCCGATTGAAGGTCACTATGTGTCTACGGACTCATATCGCTGTGCTCTACGCAATGGTACAGTCGAAATTCCCACATTCCTTCCCGGTCAAAAAGTCAACTTTAAACCTAATAAAATATTTCAGGGGCAAAATTATCTTTTATCTAAATAACTTAATAATTAAAAATTTATTTAGGATTGGGTCGTTACAATTTTAGCTTGTTCTCCATTTTTCAATGATGTGGTATATGGAGTGACTCCTCATGTTGAATATATTGTCAATGGAAATCAATACCATTTGGGCTACTATTTGGCAAATGGAATCTACCCCCGTTGGGCTACTTTAGTGAAAGCCATCTATTCTCCTAATCACCCAGAGAAGAGTCTTTTTGCACAAATGCAAGAAGCTTACAGGAAGGATGTTGAAAGAGCATTTGGAATACTACAGGCCCGATGGGCTACTGTTCGGGGACCTTGACTTATGTGGTGCAAGGATAACCTCCACTCAACCATGATGATGTGTATAATTTTGCACGACATGATTATGGAGGATGAGTGCGAATATGTTGAAGAGGAATATGATGATGAGGATATGTGTCCACAACGATCCAGGAGGGCCAGAGTAAGACAATATGAGCTGGAGCCAAGCATTATATACGAGTACTACCAAGATAGGCAGACTCTCTCTTATTACATGATTTGTCATAATAGAGTTCGATCTCCACATGTGCATCAGAGTCTCCGACATGATTCGATAAATCACATTTCGAGGAGCTTTGGAGATGGTGAATGAAGTCGACAATTGTTTCAATCCTCCTTTTGTGTTTCAATTATCTTGTGTTATTTTTTTATTTAATGTTGTGTGTTTTCTTTTGGAATAAAATTATATTTATGGAATTTCAATTTTTTTAGGTCAAATTGTTCAAAAAAATTAAATCATGACGTTATTTAAAAAGATTAAATGAAGAAAAGTTTTCCATTAAAAAAAAATTAGACTTAAACCATTCTTAAACAATTTAATAAAGATGCGGACTTAAAATTTGAGTCTGAATGATTGGGAGAAAAACGATTTGAGTCCGGGTAAAACTCAAATAGTTACTTTTTTTGTAGGGGAAAATTTGGGTTTAGCCCTTCATGAGTTGAAGAATGCCTAAGATCTGGTGTGCATCTTCTTTGTAAACATTTTATTTTTTGAATAAATTTTTTAAAAATAAATTTGTAATTACCAATGGTGGAATGCAGGGGGCAGGGGTTGGTTTTTTCTTTTTTAAATGATAGGGGGCTGGATGAGAAGCATTGAGGCCAACAAATTGGGGTTGGGTGTCCGAAGACACTTTTAAGGTGTAAATAGAGGATTACGAGACTTTACATTTATGGGTCGTTTGGTATGGGGGACTGTCATGGACTGAACTAAATCCTGGGACTATCTTGGATTAGCTCGTATTGACATAAGCTGGATTAAGTATTGACTTAAGTTTGGTGTTGTCTCGAACTAAGAAGTTGGATTGTAAAAATAGTGAAGACCTATGTTTGGTGTTGTGTCAGACTATAAAATAATTATTTTAGTAATTAATTTTAATTATAAATAAATATAATTCTAATATTAATTTTATTATTTGATATTTACTTTTAATTAAGGATTATGACCTAAAAATAAATAATAATAAAAACAAATAAATTTTAATATTTTTTAATGGCTAAAACTATCTTATCTCTTTTTTTTTTCTCCTTTTCTTCTTCCTTTCCTTCCCATCCCATCCTTTTTTTTCCTTTCTTTCTTCCTATTTTCTTCTTCCTCATGACTTTTGATCCTTCCCTCATTTTTGCTTTTTTCTCAAATTTTCTTCCCTGCCAAAAACTCTTCAGTTGTGATTCTCTCACAAATTTCATCAATTCTTTCTCTAATTTTCTTCCTAATCACTTTTCATTACTTAATTTGTTCATACGATGAATGATTCAACTCAATCTCACGGCTCACCATAATCTTCTTTACTTTCTGCATCTATCATGGCTGCTTCAACTCTTGCATCAATTCAATGAATCATGGCTTTATTTGAGGCCCCCAAAAGTTGGAGCCCATGGTCGTCGCCTTCTGAGCTCAGGGTTGACATCGTTCGCTATTCTGATAGTCAAACAAAGACCCAAGCCTCGTCGTCCCTGACCCACATGTACGACCAGAGCTTAGCCTTCGACGACCATTAAAAGCAGCAAGATCTCAAGGCGATTACTGGGTTCAAGCCTTTTCGATGAACTTGGGCTCGAAAGTGGAGGACTTGGCATCCATTGCCCAGACTCGTGTCTAGGTGAAGAAGAAGAAGAGGAAGAAGAAGAAACCGATATCATGTTGGACTCGCGTGTTCTGTGTAATGAGCTTGCTATTGTGCAAACTATGTTTCAAGCTCGCTATATTGGAAGAGCGAGTGAGGCAATTTTTGTACTATTGGACTATACAATCTCATTTAAGTTAGTTCCTTCACTTACCAAACGTGGGTTTCTAGTACTATTTAACCCAATCAAGTCCAGTGAGGCCTCCCAAACATGCCCTTAAAGTCTCTATATTTCTCTGCATTTCGCTTTATCTGGGCCATTATAATAATCCAATGGTTTAAAACATGACATATCATCAATAGCATAAAATTTGGTTTTATTTTTTATATTTGTTTATTCTAAACAAACGTTAGTGTGTTGTTATCTCTATCTCACTCTCTCCTCCCTCTCTTATCTCTATCTCTCTCTCCCCTCCCCCTATCTTCGATCCTCTCTCCCAATTTATATCCCAGCAATCCTTACTTCTCAACATTAGTTCAAATCCTAAAAATTCATATTTATATCTAAAATTCATGGATGCCTTTTTCCACTTGAAATTTGATTCAACAATTTCGCAATTGAATTCGTGCGTGAGCCAAGAACCCAATGAGTGAGCCAAGAACTCGGAGAAATACAAAGGAGAGCTCAAAGGGCTCAGGTTGGAGTCCCAAGTTAGGTGGCATGTCGTCAACTCAAACCTGGAGGAATGATGAAGAAGAGATAAGCTTCAGCATATCTCTATGTTGAATCCGTTGAAGTTGTATAAAACATAGGAAATTCAATTTAGGGTGTGGGTCTTTTTTGATGCCTTAGCAGACATGATAATTTTTCACTTGGAATCTGATTTAGATATACCCAACTTTATTTCGGTTTTGAACTAGTGTTGAGGGGAAGTGGGAATTAGGAGATACTTGTTGAAGTTATTAAGATTTCCTAGCCGTAAGGGTTAGTTATCCTAGTTTGTGGGGCTGTTTCAGTTGTTATTGATAAGTCCTATTCTTTAGGAACAAGTTATTTGTTTTGATTCCATTTAATCATGTACCACGTTTTTAGATTGTAAAACGTGGGCTGCATATTTCCAACTTTCAATTACTCTTTTGTAAGGCTATTTATTGCCATAGTTGTTCTTTGATTCAATAACATATATTCTCCCAGCATTTGAGTGTTTAGTAAACGTGTATCTACTTATGTTTTGTGAGTGTCCAACCTAGGTTTCCAACATCTGGTATCAGAGCCCTTTCACTGAGTGAAGCTAGTCTCATTGTTCCTCAACGAAGCCATGACGACTGAAAGTAGTTTTGTGCAACCTGCAATTCCAAGGTTTGATGGACACTATGATCATTGGAGCATGCTCATGGAGAATTTCTTGCGCTCCAAAGAATATTGGAGTTTGGTGGAGATTGGGATTTCTGCAGAAGCAGACGAGAGAAATCTCATAGATGAACAGAAGAAGACCATTGCTGATCAAAGGCTAAAGGATTTGAAGGCTAAGAACTATTTGTTCCAAGCCATTGATCGAGCAATCTTGAATACGATTTTGAAGAAAAATACCCCAAAAAAGACATCTGGGACTCCTTGAAGCAGAAGTACCAAGGCACAGCACATGTCAAACGTGCACGGTTACAAGCTCTTTGCAAAGAGTTTGAAATTCTACATATGAAGGAAAGGGAATCAGTGAATGAGTATTTTGCACGGACTCTCACCATAGCCAACAAGATGCGGATTCATAGGGAAAAGATGGGAGATGCAGTGGTCATCGAAAAGATTCTGAGATCCATGACTGCTAAATATGACTATGTGGTATGCTCCATTGAAGAATCAAATGATCTTGACATCTTGTCTATCGATGAACTGCAAAGCAGCTTGTTGGTACACGAGCAAAGGATGGGGAGGCACACAGTGGATGAGCAAGCTCTAAAGGTCATTCATGAGATGTATCAAGGAGGGCGAGGTGGACGCAACAATTTCAGAGGAAGAGGATGAGGAAAGGGTAGAAATCAATTTGACAAATCTACTCTCGAATGTTATAATTGTCATGAACTTGGGCATTTTCAGTGGGAATTTCCTAAAAAAGAGAAGGATTCAAAAGGTTTCTACGCAGAAACCAGTGAAGAAATGTTGTTGATGATATCAAGGAGGATGACAGAGAAGAATTATGGTTCCTGGACTCAGGATGCAGCAATCATATGTGTGGCAAGAAGAAGATGTTCACAGATTTTGATGATACCTTCAGGAAATCCGTGAAGTGGGGAACAATTCAAGCTTGGCCTTACTAGGAAAGGGAAATGTTCGTATGGAGGTTAATGGAACCATGCAGGTCATTGCTGGAGTATTCTATGTTCCGAATCTACGAAATAATTTACTAAGTATTGGACAATTACAAGAGAAGGGCCTTATTTTCTTGATCAAACATGGCAAGTGCAAGATTTATCATCCAGAAAGAGGACTGATTTGGGAGACCACAATGGTAGTAAACCGAATGTTTATCTTATTGGCTCGCACACATTCACAAGGACAGAAGTGTTTCATTACTATTACGGATGATCAATCTCACCTATGGCATCGCAGGTACGGACATTTGAGCTGGAACGGTCTGAAAATCCTTCAACAAAAGAAAATGGTGAATGGCTTACCAGAATTCCAAGCACACACGAAAGTTTGTGAAGAGTGTTTGGTGGGAAAGCAACAACGAGATCCATTTCCAAAGAAGATGAGGGCATATTAGATTCTTCAACTTGTGCATGCAGACATACGTGGGCCTTTTAATCCGATCTCCAACAATAAGAAGAGGTATCTCATTTCTTTTATTGATGATTATAGTAGGAAAACATGAGTGTACTACTTGGTTGAGAAGTCAGAAGCTTTTAATATTTTCAAAAGTTTCAAAGCTAGGGTTGAAAAGAAAACCAGTTTAAGCATCAGGAATCTGCGTACAGATCATAAGGGTGAATTCATTTCACTGGAGTTCACAGCTTTTTGCAACATGAATGGAATTCAAAGGCAGTTGACAGCTGCCTACTCTCCCCAACAGAATGGCGTCTCTGAAAGGAAGAATCGGACTATTATGAACATGGTTCTAAGCATGCTTACAGAGAAGAACATCCCATGAACTTTCTGGCCAGAAGCAATCAATTGGACCATCCATGTACTCAACAGAAGCCCAACTCTAGCAGTGAGAAACATGACGCCAGAAGAAGCTTGGAGTGGCTCTAAACCCTCAATGGAGCACTTCAGGGTATTTGGGTGTTTAGCACACGTGCATGTTCCTGACAGCAAGATGATTAAACTCGATGACAAGAGTATGAAGTGCATCATACTAGGAGTTAGTGAGGAATCCAAGGCTTATCATCTTTTCGATCCAGTTCTCTAAGAAGATAGTGATAAGTCGTGATGTTATTTTTGAAGAAGATAAAGCTTGGGACTGGAGTAACAATCACCAAGAAACAATCATGGCTGATCTTGAGTGGGAAAAGAATGAAGAAGCAGACTCAGGGAATGATAACAATACAGAAGAGTCTGAGACTGATGAGACAACATTAGAGAGCGAGGAATCTGATCATAATGATTAGACAGACACGACTGACATAGAATGACGTGTTTGAAAACCACCAGCTTGGATGAGGGACTATGTGAGTGGAGATAGTCTCTCCGAGGAGGAAGGTATGGCTCACCTAGCTTTATTTGCTGAGTTTGATCTTATTACTTATAAAGAAGCTGTAAAAAGTGACAGATGGAAGAAGGCAATGGATGCAGAAATTGAGGCGATAGAAAGGAATAACACATGGGAGCTGATAAAGATGCCACCAAAAGGAAAAATAATTGGGGTCAAATGGATTTACAAAACAAAGCTCAACGAGAAAGGTGAAGTGTATAAGTACAAGGCCCGCTTGGTTGCAAAAGGGTACAGGCAGTGATATGGAGTAGATTATGAAGAGGTATTTGCACGTGTGGCTCGTTTGGATACAGTTCGTGTCATTCTTTCACTTGCAGCAAGGAATGGTTGGACCGTTTATCAGTTAGATGTTAAGTATGCTTTTCTACATGGTGAATTAAATGAAGAAGTGTTCGTGGCACAACCTCCAGGCTATGAACAAAACGGGCAGGAGCACAAGGTATATAAGCTTAAAAAGGGTTCATACGGTCTAAAACAGGCTCCTCGAGCCTTGCACAGCCTCATTGAATCATATTTCATGAAGGAATGATTCAAGAAGTGTCCACATGAACACACCTTATTTGTCAAAAGAATGGATGGAGGTAAAATTTTAATTGTCTGTCTTTATGTTGATGACCTTATATTCACTGGGAATGATGAGTCTATGTTCAGAAAATTCAAGCATTCTATGATGACTAAGTTTGATATGACTGATGAGTTACTTTCTTGGCTTAGAAGTGCTTCAAAGGTCGGAAGGCATCTATGTTTGTCAACGGAAATATGCTTAAGAAGTGCTGGAGAGGTTTAATATGAACCAATGTAATGCAGTCCATAATCCTATTGTTCCTGGGTTCAAAATGATGAAGGATAAAGAGGGAGTGGCAATTGATAACACTCTGTACAAACGAATTGTGGGCAGCCTCATGTACTTAACTGCAACGCGACCAGATATGATGTATGTTATCAGTTTGATTAGCAGGTTCATGGAACAACCTATTGAGCTGCATCTTAACGCTGCAAAGAGAGTGTTGAGATACTTGAAAGACACGGTGAGTTTTGGGTTGTTCTATAAGAATGGAGGAAAATGAGAACTCATTGGGTACCCTGACAGTGATTATGCTGGAGATCAAGATGATAGGAAGAGTACTTCTGGGTACGTTTTTATGTTGAGTTCGGGGGCAGTTTCATGGTCCTCAAAGAAACAACCTATGGTCACTTTGTCTACAACCGAAGCTGAGTTTATAGCTACAGCATCGAGTGCATGTCAAGCAGTTTGGTTAAGGAGGATCTTGCAGCAACTCAATCATGAACCACAAACATCCACAACAATTTATTGTGATAATAGTTCTACTATTAAGCTCTCAAAGAATCCAGTGATGCATGGGCGTAGCAAACACATAGATGTTCGGTTCCATTTTCTTCGAGAACTTACCAAGGATGCAGTCGTGGAATTGGTCCAATGTTCTTCACAAAAGCGAGTGGCAGACATCATGACCAAGCCTTTGAAGCTGGACGTGTTTTAGAATTTGAGGGAGTTATTAGGTGTGTATCCACTCATGGATATAAATTGATTGCTGACAACTTTCAGTTTAAGGAAGGATGTTGAAGTTATTAAGATTTCCTAGTCATAAGGGTTAGTTATCCTAGTTTGTAGGGCTGTTTCAATTGTTGTTGATAAGTCTTATTCTTTAGAAACAAGTTATTTGTTTTGATTCCATTTAATCATGTACCACGTTGTTAGATTGTAAAACGTGGGCTGCATATTTCCAACTTTCAGTTACTCTTTTGTAAGGCTATTTATTGCCATAGTTGTTCTTTGATTCAATAATAGATATTCTCCCAGCATTTGAGTGTTCAGCAAACGTGTATTTACTCGTGTTTTGTGAGTGTCCAACCTAGGTTTCCAGCAATACTAACAAGAAAGGATCGAGGAGAGGGAGGAGACAAGAGAGGAGGAGATATAACGACAACACTAACGTCAGTTAAGAACAATAAAAAAATAAAAAGAACTGAACTTTATGCTATAGATGACATGTCATGTTTTAAACAATTGGATTATTATAATGGCCTAAATGAAGTGAAATGCGAAAAATGCGTGGATTCTAAATGTAAAGGCTCGGAATCCTTAAGAACTCTCCTTGAATGAGTGTGACTTGGGTAAACTACTAATACCCCCTGAACTATCACGCTTGTCGAAATCTCCATCATGAATTAATTTTTCAGCCAATTTAGCACTCATATTATATTTAATGGCCAATTTCACCCCTACCGTTAGCTTTTGGCAATTTCCGTTCAAATCTCTGTTAAAAAAGTCACATGTCAATCACATGCTTCACTCTTAAATTAAAATTTAATTTTTTTTTCTCTAGTTCTTCACTTATAAAAATATCTAAGAAAATAAAAGCACTCTAGTCATTTTATAAGTGTAAATTTGTTATTTTTATAAGGGTAAATTTGTTATAAGGGTGAAAAATAAAAAATAAAGATGACCAGATATTTTTTTCCTCTACTTCTTTACTGTTGGAGAGATCAAGCTGAAGCAGAGAAGACCAGTGGGGTTTAGCTGCGGTGGTTTGGCAGTAATTTTCCCCCTACCCCCACAAATGGGCACCCAGATTCGACGCTTAATATTGGCAAAATTTTGTAGAGAATCAATTTAATTGATATCCCCCATCCCCTCCCAACAATTGGCCAAAAAAAAAAAACTGAAGCAGAGAAGAACCAAAGCGATGTTGTTGGGGATGAGATTGAACAGAAGACCGTTTGAAAGCCAACAACAGCCCCACCTCATCAACATCACTCTGGCTTTGTTCTTGTTGTAGTTGTTGAGGTGAAGACAAATTTCTAGCTCCTAAGGCCAAACTTAGGAACAGGTGAAATTGAATAACAAAGAGCAAAAGAAAGCAAAAAATCCCATCATGTACTTAACAGCTAGACCCTCCTTGTTCTAATCTAATGTCTCCATCATCATCATCCTTTCAGAAACTCATGAAAAATATATATATATATATATATTTTTTGGCAGATGGATGATGAAAATAGTACGAACTATACAAAATTCATTCACCCTAATTTTTCATTAGCCAAGACTCTATTTTGAAGCAAACCCATGGTTTCGAATCCACGATTTCAGCAACACCTTTTTTATTTGAAGGGAAAAGTGTGAGATTTGAAGTGGAAGAAACACCAGATCCTTGAGGAATTGAAGTGAGAGAAAGGGAGAGAGTTTCAGCACACACCCAGGCTGTTGCTGGGTTCTTGTGCTTTGTGAATTTGGCCTTTATGTAGGAGGAGAGAGAGAGAGAGAGAGAGACGGGAAGGAGGTGATGGT